AGTCTCTATCATCCTTTCTATCTTTGAATTCTTGGGCTTTATATTTGGCCTGATTAGTAAGCAAATGTAATTAGAATAATTTGTGTGTTACTTAATACTAGTGTATGCAGTTCTAGTGCCAAATCTATAAGGAATTTTTAATTTTTTATAATATTAAAGGCTATGTGGTATCACCTTTTAAATTCCTTAGGACTCATATAAGATCTCTACCTTTGCATCTGCAAAGTCACAGCTGCAACTAGAATTCCTGTCTTAAGTCTTATGCTATCTCACTTCAGGAAAATTTTCACTGTTCAAGTCTACTCTGTAAATACCTCACTAGGAACAGTATTTCAAAATTTAGTTCAAAACAGAGCTATCAGAACAACCAGTGTTGCTTCACAAACTTTTTAAAAATGTACTGAGCTTTCATTTTCCATTTGAATATAATGATCTTCACATAGCTTAAGGAGTTAACATTTTTTATGATTTCTTTTAATTAGTAGTATTCTTTTTAATTGAAAGGCATATTTACATAGAGAAGGAGAAACCGAAAGATTTTCCACCCACTGCTTCAAAGCCAGGAGCCTCTAGTTCTCCCATGCTGGTGCAGGGTCCCAAGGCTTTGGGCTCTACTGCTTTCTCAGGCCACAGGCAGGGAAGTGACATGCATATGGGATCCTGGTGCATGCAAGGCAAGAATTTAGCTGCTGGGCCATCTCACCAGGCCCAGAGGGGTAACCTTTAGGTCCTTACATTAAGCTAGTTTATGAAGCAAAGTTTAAAAATTGAAAACAACTCCAGTCTTTTGTTACCATAAACATTTATTTTGTAAAGGTAACTGTAGCAGGTGTGAAATAATTTTTTCCTTAACATTTCTAAAACTGATTTAGTAGCCCTTGCTATGTTGGTATATCTATAACTTGGGTTTTAGAGCTCCAGAAGTGTAAAAAACTGTGCAGGTAATATCAGGTGGGTGTTTGGCAAGAAAACAGAATGGAAAGAAGTGTGATAAAGTGTTATCTATAATATTGCATAGTCATGGTACTACTTTGCTAAGCAACATGGTCTCTTTGTGACCAGGCACATGAAGGCATGTTTTAAAACCATGAGTAGTCTTACCTAAAGGCAAAAAGGCAAGTGCATTTTGCCAATGCTTTAAAAACAGAAATAAAAACTAATTTGAGAAATTATTTAAAAATTTCTTGCTGAAAGGGACTAGAAACTTAGTTACATATATTGAGGTGACTGTCATAACCACACAGTATTTCTATGTATCATATTCTGATTCACTTTTAAATGCTTTAACAACAATTTTCCATAATATAATACGTTTTAAAAGTAAGTTAATTTTTTAAAATTTATTTTTATTTTATTTTTATTAGAAAGTCAGATACATGGGGGGAGGAGAGACAGAGGAAAGTCTTTCATCTGCTGATTCACTCCTCAAGTGGCTGCGTCGGCCAGAGCTGTGCCAGTCCTAAACCAGGAGCTTCTTCCAAGTCTCTCAAGTGGGTGCAGGGTCCCAAGGTTTTGGGCTGTCCTGCACTGCTTTCCCAGGCCACAAGCAGGGAGCTGGATTGGAAGCAGAGCTGTCAGATTTAGAACTTCAGCCCATATGGATGCTAGCACTTAGCAAGGTGGGGAAAAGTAAGTTTACTTATAAAAGATGGCATCCAGGGACCCTGCACAGTAGCCTAGTCGCTGAAGTCCTCTCCTTATAGGCTCTGGGTGCCGGTTCTAATCCTGGCAACCCTGCTTCCCGTCTAGCTCCCTGACTGTGACCTGGGAAAACAGTTGAGGACAACCCTGCACCAGTGTGGGATACCTAAAAGTTCCTGGCTTTAATCAGCTCGGCTCCGGCCTTTGCAGCCACTTGTGGAATGAACCAGCAGATAGAAGACCTTCCTCTCTCCTCCTCTGTATCTGACTTTCCAATAAAAATAAATCCTTAAAAAAACATAATTTTAAAAGAAAAACATTTTTAAAAAGTTGGTATTCAAATACTGGCAATCACAAAATTTCAATAAATGATAAACTTTATTGAACTTTAAGGTTCTCTGATTTAAACTCCATAAACATATCAGTCGGAAAATATTTTCAAGTAATACTGAAAAGATTCTGTTTTTGCTATATGTCAACTTTTTTGTGGTTGTTGGCTGTCAGGTTATACCAATGCATTATTATTGCGTTTATTGTTAATATAAAAATTTTTTAATTGCTTTATTTTGATGATGTTTACATAGTTGATTAGGTCACAGTTGGTCAAGGGAATATAAAATCTTAAACCAGTGTTTGAACTTTTAATTTTTATAAATAGGTTAAATTTCATCCAAGTGAAATCCTAGAATTCGTATAAAGCTAGGCTGAAAGTTGAAATATGGATTTCTCCATTTACAGGGGAAAGACATAGGTAGAATCCCAGAGAAAGCTGTTTGAAAACTAAATTACAATTTACTTAACTTGATAGGATTACCAATTTAGTTCCTCAAGTTGTCTGTTCTAACTTGTTCTTTAAAATGTTTTAATGTCATTTTGTTAGAGAAGTTTATGCAGCTGAAGTAGGTCTGCTGAATGTGTGCAAATATACACACATATTTGTGGGGTTTTTATACGCATACAATATTTGAATATACTTTTTATCTTCTTTCATTGAAGATGTTCATCACAATGGTATACTATTACTAGCATCTGAAACCTGAACCATCACTAACTTTGCAGTATTGATTGCATGCATCTCCAGTCTGCTAAATTGGACATCTGATGAAGATAAATGACAAGTATTTCAGGATTAACAACTAAAATGTAGGCAAGAAAGATAAAAGCAATATGATTGTTGGTTCCTGGAAAGCTGAAATCTGCTGTATAGCAACTGAATTTTCCCACTGTTTTTTACTTTAGAAAATCAAGATATGTTGAAAGTATAAGAATACTAACAAGGCTAATCCAGTAATTGCCCTAAAAGCCAAATCTGAGCACAGAGTAACTATGTAGATAGAAACCATTGCACATCACATGTAGTTGTTTTTACATATATTTCCACAGAATAGTATATGATGTGACAACAAAAATAGTCCTTTAGTTCCACAATCATGTGTCCAAACATGCCTTTGGCAGTGGTAGCCCTGGAGACCTTGAAGTATGATTATGTGATGCCCTTAAGGCTCAGGAATTTGGATTGGTGAGAGGTTGAGTACTTATCCACTTATTAGCATATAGATCTTTGTTGTTTTATAAAATCATAGTGCATTTCCTTTACTAAGGAATGCGTTGCTTTTTCAACCAAAATTCACAATTCTCTTTAGTATTTTATCCTAAATGGTACTGAATTTGTCATAGTTTGATATACTAAGTTAATCTTGATAGGTTATGGGGAAGATGGATTAATTGTTCATAAAGTTGAACTAGAGTGTAAAGGACTGTAATGGTTTGGGGTGGGAGGGAGTTGTGGTTCTCTTGTGGAGCAACTTTGTTTTCCCAGGTGCATTACTTCTTAAAGGCCAGTGATCTTATTGTAAAGGACAAGGCATACAGCACTGTTTGCTTAATTATTACAAAGGGGTGATATAGCCTTGCTTTCCTTCGGTAAGCTTTAGCTTGTCAGTTTGTTGTAAACTTGCTTTTGGCAGATAGATAGGGAAATAGTCCTAGCAGAATTTGTCCCTCATTCAGTGTAGTTCTGAATAGGTGCTGAATGGGTGAGCTTTAAATGCTACGTGATCATTAAGGCTTCATTGACTCATAATTCCTCCACCACTTTTCCCTCAGCTTTGTATTTCTACCCAGGACTTCCTACCATCTGAGTTATGGTACATTTTCCTCTGCTCTCTTTCCCCTGTGGAGCTTTAACCTTAGTGGTTTAAACCATACTTGATACGGAGTACTCAGTTTTTGATGAGTGAATTTTCCAAGGATCTATTGCTCTAGACAGGCTAAGTTCATTGCATTGTTAGAATTTGAAACCCAATAACTTACCTTAAAAAAAAAAAACTATTTACTTATTTGAAAGGCAGAATGAAAGACGTCTCTTCCAAATACATAGCAACCACCAGGGCTGATGAGGCTGCAGCTGGGTTCGAAACTCCATTCCAGCCTCTAGGCAGGCCACTATGGGGGGATGCTCAGGAGGCTGGCTGGATACCCTGGCCATCTTCTGCTTTCCCAGGTGGGTCTGCAGGGAATAACTGGGAGCTGGAGCAGTCTGGGACTCAAACCAGTGCTCTGATGTTAACTTGCTGTGCTGCCAACAGACTCCCAAAATAACTTTCAGAGTATCTTCTCATTTTGCCCTCTTGGTTGTCAGTTACTTTATAGCATGCTCATTCTGCATTACCATTTGTTGTTTCTCTTTGTCATAGAAAGGTGAAGTCCCTGAGTAGCTCATTCTCTAAAAGCTCATAGTTCAGGCATTTGCTGATACTATTTGTCAGAAAAGTTACTCTTCCCCAAATTTTTGTCATACTGTTATTCGTGATTAATGTTTCTTTGGCATTTTGCTGCTCTCCTGCAAAACACTACCACAGAACGTACTCTCTTTGGAATAGCATGGAAATACTCATTTTACATTTATCTCTGCTACTACCTTTGCCATGGAATGATACAAAAACCCTTTGCATTTGAAAAAATGTAATCAGGTAAATTTCTTAGATGTGAAGGGAAAATCACTCGTCTTTGAAAATTAAGAAAAGGACTAAAACTACTTAGTAGCTATATCAGTTATGACTCAAGTGACCTAATACGTGAGAGACACTAAGTACAGATCTCAGTTGTATTGGCATCTTGTGATATTGCATACAAAAAGTATTTCTGTATTTATCCAAGATCAAGAAGCTAAGTAACCCATTCTTTCTGCTTTCATATTCCTTTGTAATGTATATTTACATCTTTTACGAAAAGATACTACCCTTACCATAAATAATATTTTTATTATGTTTATGTGTACCTTTTTGTGATCTCAGTTATTAGGATCAGAGAATTATAAATCGGAAAAATCTTTTAATCAATCCTTCTTGTTTTTACAGATGAGGAAACTGAAACATAAAACGCTTAAAGTCATTTGTCCAACAACCCCTTGCTGACAATGCCGCTTCATGACAAATCCAGCTTCCTACCAAGTGTTAGGCTCCCTTCCCCAACTACCTACAGCAGCATTCTTTGTTTCTGTCAAGATTAGGTAAATAGAATCACTTCACTTTTTATTTTTAATCTTAGGAGGTAGAATTTTGAAACTGATTATAGCAAAATGTTATGTATCTCTGTGAATTGGCTAAAATTATTTATTTGTCCTAGGCTGGCGGAATTTTGTAATTTGTTACAAATGCGTAGTTTCCAAAGGGTTGCTCTTTAATTTTTAGTATTAAATTATGAAAGTCTCCAGATCTTAAATATCAATCCCAAATTAATTTTAAAATTCAGAATTATAAAAACAGGAATCACAAACTCTGAAGCCAATTCTATATTGTAAGACAGTTCTGAGGTTTTTTCTGTCTTCAGTATTCCAAAGCGAATCATATAACATTCTGAATTCATATGTACCTGGTACTTTTACTATTTTACAACATTCTTCAATATTTTTAAGTCTCAAAAAATTCAGATTTGGTCAGTGAGATAGGAATGTTCAAGCAATTTTAGAAATGTTTACATTAGTTGAAATAGCTCATACTGGATCTGGGTGAGAAGACAGACAGATCTGGTACTGACTGGCCAGACTAGTACTGACGTAATAGGAACATTGATGAAGATTTTACACGCAACAGTGTAGTGTCTTTTCTCTGCACACCTGAGAATATAAACAAAAGAAAGCAGAAGTTTTTAAAGTACAGAGTAAATGCCCCCACTTGAAATGCAGGGTTCTGTCGTCTGGAAGACTGCCATTTCAGCACCCTTAAGGTGAAAACCTGTAGTGGCTGTTAACTCAGAGCTCATCCGAAACATTAGTCTCACCAGCACATTGAGAAAGACCTAAGTTTTCTGATGAAATATATATTTATGTGTACAGTTGTCCAAGTGGCTAATATCTACTCAAGGTAAGTTACCAAAGAAGGCTTTCCCTGACCTGAAAACAAACGGATAAGGCCACCTGAATGAAATAGTAATAAAACGCTAGCAGTGTAAGTAGAGCTCCTAAGCTTTAGAAATCTCCTGCTGTGTCTTAACAACAAATAATTGCATTCCTTTCCTGAAAGCCTCTGTAGCTATAGCTACTTTATACGTTATTGTAATTTAGGAAATCTTTCATTTTCTGAAACAAAGTTTAATGATGCCACTTACTGTAAATGTTAAGGGAAAAGTAATCTCAAGGTGTTGTAGAGTCAATTAAGAAACATGATTAACCTGTGCCTTAGATTGATTGCTTTTAACCAAATGTCAAATGGTAGATGAACATTTCCCCAAAATTGTGACTTGAACTGAAGCCTTAAAAAGATGATTGCATGTGCTCTTATTGACAAAGGAGATATATGATAATGACTTTACCTTTATTCTAGTTAAAATGACATTGAAGGGGACAAAAAACAATTTGTGGATGTTTATTCCTATTTACCTTGCCTCAGTACTTTCCTTGAATGGATGTGTTTATTATTTTTAATTGGAGTCCTAACTCTAGGGTTTTTACTTGTATGTGCTATTTATTCCAGACCAAAAGAGTGATAACTTTTGGGGTAGGTAAGGTTTTGTTTTATATTATATTTGACATTTTCTTAAGTATCTTAGTTTAAAATAACACAAATGTAGGCATTTTTATATAAATCAGCTAATTATCACAAATAAATTATTTGATAGTTTTTAAAAATCTTTTTACTGTTTGAAGATACAGGGTAAATAACTTAGGCAAAATTTAAATAAAAATGCTGATTTCACAGAAAAAGTAATTGGGACTTTTAAAATCTTGGATCAGAGAATAAGGATAGCTTTAGAAAATTTGTGAGAAACGTTTAAAAGTTTATTTTGGTGTTAAAATCTTACATAGTTGTTCTCTCCCCCGACCCCAGACTATACAGTTTCTTTCTGTTCTTTTTTTTTTTTTTTCCGAAGATACCTCATATAATTTTAGTTTATAGCATTAAAAATTATCAATGGCTTCAGAATTAAAGATTTTTTTAAAATTATGTGAATAACGCTGAGTTTATGCACATGGGAAGGGGGAAAAGATCTCAATCAATAGTAAAATATTTGAGTATGTGATAGTAAAATGTGGAAGTGATCATTTTGTAAAACTCTGCCAAGTCCTGTTGCCCCTGCAGAGCTATCATTTACAAATTAGAACTTAATTCTCCATGTCTTTTTCATACGGAGTCCTTAACATAAATGGGGTTCTGTTTTACAGTGTGTCATTAGCATTATACATCAGTTGTTGTTTTTTTTTTTTTTTCTTTTTTCAATGCTGTAATTTCTTTAATGGTCCTCACAATGGACACTTGTTTGGTTTCTTGCTTGTTAAAAAAAATTTTCTCTGGTGAATACCCTTGAACAATCTTTATCAATGAGTCTGTAATATGAGTCTGTTATTGACTAATAGTAGTTGTATATTTTGGGTGTTACTGTGCTGATTATATGTAATCGATGGGTTTCCCAGTGTACTTATTTTGCTGGCTTTATGATTGTTCTGAATAGTAGTGTAATTAGTTTCTTATTTTTTTTTCCTTTGTCATCTATGTCTAATGGTTTTCTGGTAATTCTAACCTGTTCATTTCCATAGAGATATTTTCACTTCCATTTTTAATTGCCACATGTAGAACACTTTGTTTCATAGAATTCCATAGTGAGAGTGTTACTATGTAAAGCATTGTACTAGTATGTAATGATCACAAAAGGACAGGTGACCATTTTGATTGTGAATTTCAGAATTCTGAAATAAATGTATTCTGGGAAAGCTTTTGAATTTTCTTTATGGAATCACTTAGGTATTCCCTATGAATTCAGTTTTAACAGGTAATATGCTAGGTACTAAATAATAACTGCGGTGTCCTAGAAACACGCCCCCTTTCCTGTATCTTTCAGACAGGGCTGCTTTCCAGTTGGCATACATTTCAATCACCTCCACTTTACCACTGCTCTTCAGTTACTTGGGCTGCTCTGCAGTGCCAGACTCCCCAACAAATGCTAGAAGCTCCTTGCAAAGCAGGACTCAAGAAGCAATAAAGATCCATCTTGATTCACTTAGCCAGAATTTTGTAGAGCTCAAATAATTGCATGGGGTGGGTGGTGGCATTTTTCTCTGTGTGTGAATGTATGTAATATAGTGTCTACCCTGTACCAGAACTTTTTCAATGTTTGGCAACTGAAATTTGGCTTTATGGCACATTTATTCAATTTGTTGAAAATCCATAACTTGGCCTCTTGAAACTGATATTGTTCTACCACCAATCATCTGTGGAAGTACTTTACAATTTTTCTGTTGCCTCTCTCTTCATAGATGATACCATGAACTATCTGATAGACTCTGTCACCAGTTCACTTCTGTTCCCTGCCCATTCTTTGTACTTGATTGGTGCAGTGTGTATATGGGAGGAAGAGACCGTAAATTTCCTGCCACCCTTTCTGTTAGAAGGAAGAGAGAAATCATTTCTTACTTCCATTTGGAGTAATATCCTACTAGAAATGATCAGCCAAGGAGAAATATTTTTCTTTTTTTTTTTTTTTAAAGAAACTGGAACTCTTACAGCTCAGTCAGTTTGGAGTAACTCAACAATAATTCAGCTACACTATATTTTAACTAGATTTCTAAGTGCATTTGCTAGCGTAACCACCATTTAATACGTATTTATAAGTCGAAGTTTGCCTTTAAAGTCACACAGCATGAAGCACTGTAGTGCTCGTAACACTCTTCCGTATTATTGTAGGTAACTAAATGACCATGGAATCTGCAGCAGAGAACCAGCAGAGTGGAGATGCAGCTGTAACAGAAGCTGAAAACCAACAAATGACAGTGCAAGCCCAGCCACAGATTGCCACATTAGCCCAGGTATACAATACATAGAGAGATTCCAAGTCGTGTCTCTTCCAAGAGAATTTATTTATATGGAGATATAAGTAGAATGAACAGAGGTGTTATTAGAATCTCAGAATTCCTATTTACTTAGTGTTAGTGTATGTTTTGAAATGCTAGCATTAATTCAGTAACATAGCAGCAAAATGTGGTGTTAAACACTAATACGGTACTTTAAGTTCCATGATCCAGAAGAGTTACATCTTTGTTTAATGATTAAGTTAACTGGATGTCTCAAATGAGGAAATAAGAATTCAGCTATAACAACTTTTTTTTTTAATATACCACACATTTATTTGGGGGAACAGGGGCACAAGTAATATGAACGATTAAATTTGTATAGTCTTTTAAAACATAAATAAATCGGCATGCAAGTAAATTTAAGGGTGATCATTTTTATATTCTGTATATTTTAAATAGAATTGCTGATTCTTGTATTTTGTTTTTGTCCTAAACACCCTGTTTTAAGGACATATACTCATCCTTTTTGTTCTCAAGTATTTTGTTCTCAAATATTTTTCACAAATATATTTTTTAATTGATACGAGTAAGAAAGTTGGGAATAAACAATTGAAATAGCCAAATTAACCTTCCAGGTAAAAGTGCGGTATTGTCTGAGTTGAAGGGTCCCAGGAAAAAATAATCCTGGCAGCAGAAGATGTGGTGTGTCTAACCTCCATTTCCGTAGGAGTTTAAAAGCTCCCAAGGGAATTACTGAGTAAGAAGGAAACTTGATAACAGAAGGCTCAAAGAGAGGATGCAGTGCCATCAGGCATTTGGTGGTAACAGTCCTATTGTTCATGTCTTTTGGATCATGCTCTTCTGTTGGTCTGGCTGCCTTGAATCTGCTGTGTAGTGTCGTCTTGGGAACCTCGAGTGTTGCTCTGTTGTCTTTTTGGTGAAGTTTTGTGTTTCCCATGTAGTCAAAGTACATCTTTCAATGTTTTTGAAAGATCTGTCTAGGAAAAGAATTCTTATTTAAAAAATTTTGTGAAGCAATCCAGTGACAACTTTTTTGTAATGTTATAAGAAAAGCTAAATCTGCTTCTTGTTTTCTATCTTTATTATCTTAGAAAATCTGTTCAGAAGCTTCAGAATTTCATTATGATTTTAGTTGGGATACATTTTGGTTCAGGTGGTCCTTTATAGTATAAACTAGGGTCTTTAATTTTGGATTGTTTGTATAAATTATTTGGTTGATTGTTTTTTCCTCCAGTTTCTCCCCGTTTCTCACTAGAATTCTTGGGAGTCCAGATACTGTCTTTCTAGGCTGCATTCCCATGTTCAATGTATTGTTTCTACTATCATATTTCCAAGAGGCTCCTTCATTCTCTGACTAGTTCTTTTGTGTTCATTAGCATCCTGTTTATATCTCACAAAAGCAGCATTTACTCTTATCTCTGAAAATGTTAAGGTTCTTTTTCTTGTGTTTTATTTTAACTTTTCCCCATAGATTATTCTTTCTATAAATTTTCCTGCCCATTGTTTTAATCTCCATCTTTGATGTCAGAGGCTTTTCTTAAATCTGATCATTTGTGGCTGCTTACTCAGGTCTGTAGGAGCAGAAAGCTATATTGGAAGCTCTGTGGGTACATTGAACTTCACAGCATAGGAGCATAAAAGGATTCTGGTCCTAATATCAAATGTTTTAGGTTTTTACTGTTGGCATCAATCATTCCCAAAGAAAAAAATCAGAAATATTTTGTTTAGAAAATACAGGGTTAGGGCCTGGCTCGGTGGCGCAGTGGTTAAGGTCCTCGCCTTGCACGCCCGGGATCCCATATGGGCACCGGTTCTATCCCGGCAGCCCCGCTTCCCTTCCAGCTCCCTGCCTGTGTCCCGGGAGAGCAGTCGAGGACAACCCAAAGATTTGGGACCCTGCACCCTTGTGGGAGACCCAGAAGAGGCTCCTGGCTTAGGACCGGCATAGTATCGGCCGTTGTGCTCACTTGTGGAGTGAATCATCGGACGGAAGATCTTCCTCTCTGTCTCCTCTGTATATCTGCCTTTCCAATAAAAAAATAATAAAAATAAATCTTTTTTAAAAAAGGAAAATACAGGGTTAGAGCCAAAGGACAGAATACGGCTGGGATTTAGGATGTTGCTAGACAGTCAGACCACATGTTATCCAGATAATACATCTGTTTTTTTCTTTGAGGACTAGGTAGTTTGTGTTTGTGGAGTTGGGGAGGGGATCGACTTGCTTCTTAAGGCCTTTACCTAGACATCTTTAGAGTTGGCCTGTCCTTGCTGCACCTTTTGAGGGGCTGTAGGTTCTAAACTTGAGGATTTTGTGATACAAATCAGCTTTTCCCTCCCTCCATCCAGCTCCTAAGTTGGCCTTTGAAGGTCTTCCCGTTCATTTCATTTCATCTGTCTACTTCCTAAACTATCTCCTTACCATTCTGTGTTCTTGTAGTTATGTCTTTAAGCAGGAAATCAGTATAAGAAAGTTGGATTGGGAATTCAGGTAAAAGAAAAAGTCCTAGCACGTTTGATTTATCGCCTTAATCGGGCTACGCTTCAGCATCAGCAGCTTAAAACTGGAGTGGTAGTATCAGACTTGAATTTTTGGAAAGCTATTGTCTGTTCCCGTTTATATGGTTTTTAATTCCTTGGATTCCCAGATAATGGAGATATTTTAGTTATTCATCAAGTTCCTTAGCATATACCTATATTTGACATAATTACCTTTTTTTTGAGATTTATTTATATTTATTTAAAAGGTAGATTTAGCAAGGAAACAGAAAGATCTTCTGTCCACTGGTTTACTCCATAAATTGCCACAACAACCAGAGCTGAACCAATCAGGAGCCAGTAGCTTCTTCCAGGTTTCCCGCATGGTTTTGGGGCATCCTCTGCTGATTTCATAGGCCTTTAATAGGGAGCTAGATTGGGGGTATGGGATCCTGGCGCATTCAAGGCGAGGACTTTAGCTGCTAGGCCACACCGCCGGGCCCAGTTTTGATAAAAAGCAAAGTGTGTTTTGATAAAAAGCAAATTCAGCTTAAATGGTAAAGCAAGAAAATCTAAGCAGTCTTTTTAAATTAATAAGACTTATGATTTAGACCACAGTAATGTAAGTTTTTACAGTTCTAAGGAAAAAATTGGATTTAAAGAATAGTTGTAGTGTTCTTGTAACCGGAAAATTTGAAAACCTGAATATCTAATAATAAGACCTTTATTAAATCAATTATATAATTTCTCCTAACATGTAGCCATTAATTCCATTAAAGAAGACAATTAAAGATGTTATAGTGGATTTGAAATGTAAAATAGATTTCATGATAATGTGTTGTAAAATTGTGCATAAGCATCTTGAAAGAACACACAAAAGCACTACAGCAAAAATATTAATGGTGATTGAGTCTGGATGGTAGGAATTGAAAGGATTTTTATTTTATTTTTGTATGTGATAATCTCATAGCAAGAAGAGCCTTTATTAGGCAAAAAATGGGATTATTTCTTGAGTTAGCCTATTACTTTTACTTTAGAGAAGACTCGGAAATTAGGATGTAGTAACTACTTTAAATATTAGGAAAGTTTTTTTTATATAAGTGCTAATATTCTACCTCACCTGCTCCCAAATAACTTTAAGGCTTTTGGTTTTCAAGTTTTATTGATAAGGAAAGTATTCTTGGGTCCTTCTTATATTTTAATATTATAAACAAGGCTCCCTGTGTGAACTCCAATGCAAGTGTGGTCAGTGAATCGCATTTTGAAAACTAGCTAAAAGTAAGGAAGACTTACAGCAGCTAAACAGAAAGTAATAAGGGCATCCTAATTGTCCAAAGATAAAAGTTTCATGATTTTAACAGCTCTCTGTCAAATACTGTATCTTTGGTAGACATCTTTCCCAGCCTCACAGTCACATATTTAACTGTCCACTAACCATCTGCACACTCAGATGTCAGACCAGTCTTATCATCTTACACTATAACTCCAATCATCCAAAATCCGCCCTTCTTCTTGCATTCTTTTTTAGTTGTTGACATAGCCTACCAACTTTTTAGAAACAGAAAATGTGAGTCGTCTCGTCATAAAGCCCTTCTTGGTCTGCCTCCAACTTTTCCTAAAATCCCTTCTCATTCCTTTTGCTACTACTACTCTGCTGTGACAGCGATTACAACTAGCACCACCACATTTCTCACTTCCATTTTCACCTTAACTACTGCATAAGCTGTCTTGGTTAGTCCTCAAACTAGTTATTTCATTCTGCCATTGAAGTGACCTGTCTAAAATGCAAACATTTTGATATTCAGAAATTCAAAAGCCCTTCAGTGATTTCTCACTAATCTCAAAATTAGATTCTTTAATGTAATGTGCATGTAGTTTTATTTTAACAATTAATTCATGCTTGCATCTGCTTGCCTATGTTATTTTCTCTCTCCCTCTTTCCTGTGTCCAGCAGTAACATATTTAAGTGTTCCAATAGTACTGAATTGCTGATTATCCTTCTCTGCCATGTGCAGTCTGTTGTTTCTCTTGGCGTTTACTAGTGTCCCCTACCCTATGTGAAGTTGAGTGACTTTCCTGCAAGGCATCATAACATGTGTGACTTGTTCCTTGTGCCCTCTACTCCTCGGAGGTTGGGTAGTTCTCTTCTGTGTGTCTGCTTTTCTCTTAGCAAAGCTCATTACTCCACCTGATTGTATTTACTTCTCCCGTTCCTTGACAGAGTCCCTAATAATTTCCATGAGATTAGGCAACTGTATTTTTCTCTTTTTTAATAGTTTGAATATTGTCCCTGATAAATACCCAGTAACTGTTTAATGACTGAGCAAGTAGACTTCCTACCCCTAAATGTCTTCAAGCATAGGAACAATAAGTACCATCTGATAGATGCTTATGACGTAAAGGCCATTTTAACTTGGATATTAACTCATTAAAACTGCCTTTTTGCGCCTAAGGAAAAAATTGTTACATGAGTATTTTGTAGCTCTCCCCCTTTACTCATGATGAAAACAATTCCTAAACTATTATCGCTAGTTCAGTGATGGTTGGTGTTGAAGAGGAGAGGAATAGAAGTTTACAGCTCATAATGCCTATTACTATGTTCTCACGGATGAAAACTATGCTGTTTTATAAGGTGGGACTTAATATGGCAATTTGTCCCAAGTTTGGAAACAGGACAGAGCTTATCTAACACGTATTCCACGGACTTACTCTGCTGCTGACTTTGGGTACATTGCTAAGCTTCTTTGAGCAGTTTTTTTGTTTGTTTTCCACTTGGAGGTAATTTTAATTTCTTCAATGAAGAAAATGAGAAATGGTATATGAAAACAGCTGAGAAAATATTAAACAGCATACGTCTAAAATGGTGCTTAGTATATTTTGACATTGTACTACAATAGCTTTCTCTTTTGTCCCTTGGGAGGAACTGAAAAATGGAGAGGGAACACCTGTTCATTTTATTTTTTAAAGAATGGTACATTTGGTGTTAGTTTATTTCCAATCATGGTATTTTAGTGTCTGAAATGTTATTTTATATTAAACGTGAGTAGTCTTAACGAGGTATCTGATGGTATTTTTTTCCGATGTTCAACACTCTAGGTATCTATGCCAGCAGCTCATGCAACATCATCTGCTCCCACGGTAACTTTAGTACAACTGCCCAATGGGCAGACAGTTCAAGTGCATGGAGTTATTCAGGCGGCCCAGCCATCAGTTATACAGTCTCCACAAGTCCAGACAGTTCAGGTATGTGTATAAATAGTCTGTATTCACTTTTGTAACTTCTTTATAGACATGTATCTCTCTCCATTCATTACTTACGAAAACAAGGACAAATTCTAGATTATTTTACATCATACATAAATAGGTTGCATCTATATAGTCACCTTATGTAAAATTCAAAACAGACATGAAAGAAAATTTTGTTAAGCTACAGAAGAGTAACTGGGGGAAATAGTTGAATACATGGGGCAAATAAGAAGGTTGGGAGAAACTATAGAACTGATTGCGTTAGGGACATTCAAGATACAAAAATAATAACTTGTAATGATTTTCTGAATCTGCAGTGGGAGAAGTAAATTTTTATCTAAAATTAATAACTTTACGAGAGATATTTGAACTTAGAGATCACATGAAGCATCTAAATTTGCTGTGTTAGGTTTACAGTTAGAACATATAACTTTGAAATAGTATGCTCAGACAGCACAGCTTAAGGTCAGGGATTATACTATGAGTGTTTTATTCTTTGGGTTGGATCCAAAGGGAATAGAGGCATGGGAGACCGCTGACAGTGACTGCACTACTTAACTGTAGGGAATCAGGAAGCACTGTACATCTTTGCAAGTGAGCTTATTGAGAAGAGAGGGAAAGGAAAAAAAGACTTGAACATTCATTCAAGTAGGCCATAACCCCAGCCTCCCATTTCATATTTTTTTGCTTCACAGTCTTCCTGTAAGGACTTAAAAAGGCTTTTCTCCGGAACACAGGTGAGTCCTAGGTCCTAGATTTGGAGAGAACTATTATTAGAAAGGAAGGTGAGAAATTACTCTTTATGTCTTTGTCCTTCTCGTAAATATGGAATGTCAATATTTGATTTAATTCTAGACATTTCTAGTTCCTGGCTAAACTAGCCTACTTGACCCTTAGTCTGTTGCTTAACACCTCTATATAATAATTTTCCCTTTCTCCAAATGATAGCCTAACATTACTTTAACACTCTTAAACAAGCTCTCTATATCCTGAAGTGTCCTATTTATGACTAAGGAGATTGCCAAAATATTCTTCCCAATTGTGAACCATAGTATATCTCTGAAACTTTTACCTAGTGATGGTGGTTTTCTTCTTGGAAGCTAGATTATCAAGTCTGATTTAATTGTTTTCTTATTGGACTGATTCATACTCTGCATCTCCTACACTCTGTTTAAAAAAAAAAGTTTCATGTTTATGTGAAATGCGGAGTTACAGAGGGAAGAGTCAGAAAGAGATCTTCCATCTGCTGGTTCACTCTCCAAATGGCCACAATGGCTGGAGCTAAGCTGATCTGATGCTAGGAACCTGGAGACTTCCAGGAGACAGGTCTCCTGTTTGAGTGCATGGACTAAGAACCTAAGCCATCCTCTGTTGATTTCCCAGGCCATAAGCAGAAAGCTGGATCAGAGGTAGGAGTGGCCAGGACTAAAACCCAACCACCCATATTGGACATCACTGCTGCAGGTGCAAGCTTAGCCAACTACACAGCGGTGCTGAACCTTTCTATCTTGATGTTAATTGCTGCCCAGCACAGTAGCCTAGTGGTTAATGTCCTCATATGTATCAGGATCCTGTGTGGGTGCCAATTCGTATCCCAGCAGTTTGACTTCCCTTCCAGCTCCCTGCCTGCAGAAAAGCAGTGAAGGATGGCCCAAAGCCTTGGGACTCTGTGCCCACATGGGAGATCCAGAAGAACCTCTTGGCTCCTGGCTTCAGATAGGCTCAGCTCTGGCCATTGCAGCCATTTAGGGAGTGAACCAGTGGATGGAAAATCTTCCTGTCCTCCCTGTAAATATGACTTTCCAATTTAAAAAAAAAAAAAATTGCTAGCTGTGGAAATTTTTTTAACTTGACTGAACAAACACATTTTTCTTCAGCCAATTATTATATGGATTATAGCCTTGATTCTTCCCATCCTGGTTGCTTTCTTCTGGGTAAGAGCAGTTTTGTCCTGTAAGTATGTAGCTGTAACTGAGTAATATTTACAGGGACAGCAGTACCCACTTTGTACTAGAAACATCCTTGTTACTATCATCAAAATGCATACTAGATGGTTATAAATCACTATGATATAGTGCTGACCAAGTGAAGAACAATAAATGTGATGTCTCTGTGGAATCCCAGTGACTAAGCAGTAATTCTGTCTCTCAGTTTTGTTTCATTAAATGCTGCCTACCATGCTCCATATTGTGGCATGCTAATTCCCTACCTGTATTCCTCTTGATAACAGTGGAGAAATTTCACCAGATGACCTACACTGCAAATCAAGTTTGGATATTAATAAATCAGATAATCTTGGGCGCATCAACTTTATTATCTCTTTTTGACTTACAGAAGGAAATCTTTTATAAAAAAAATTTAGAAGTCAGAACTTCAGAATTTGCTAAGATTATAATTTTGGGTTAAAAATATGTGGTACTTGTTGATTGTATTCTTTATTTTAACCATTATTTGGAGGGCAACCTAATTTGGACCTGGGGATTATATGACCATTATCTTTGAAGTGACTAAGCCATGGAGAATATATGTCATTTCAGCTGATTGGAAGTGATTATCAATTTTTATGAAGTTGTTTATATTAGATATTCAAACAGTGAAAAGGAATGGTCATTCACACTTCTAAATGAGAGACTGTTAGTGTTCCAGAATTCACTACATTAATATTGTATACAGCGTAATATATAAATGCATACACACACATGTATAATGCAGGTCTCAAATAATATGTGCGCATCCTCACAGAAATAGTGCAGTTGCATATATAGTGGAACTGACATTGGCTTCTTTGCTTTTCATTCATTTGTCTTGTCCACATTTCCTTGTAATGCAATATAAATGTGCTGTAAAGAGGCTTCATGGGTTATATTGCTTCCCATTATTACATTGATTCTTTGAACAGCTATGGATGATCCTCACTGTTCTAGGAATTGTGAAAAAGTAGTGAACAAATAATACTTTATTCTTGTGAAAATCACATTTGAGTGAAGAGAGTCTTATCAAAAGTGAAGCCATAAAGTGAGAAGATAAGTTAGCTGAAGTGCTAGTGAGATGAATAAAGCAGAGGAAAGGAAGAGTGTTCTCTTTCATGAAGGGTGATGGGAGGGGGAGGGGAACAGACCAGAGAACAATGAAATAGGTTTAATAATGCAGATAATACAGTCCAGAAGATGTGGAAGTGAATATGCGTGGGATGTCAAGGAGAAACAAATAGATGATACTGGAATAGAGTAAGCAAGAAAGAGTGCAAGTATTGTTTATTTTTTATAAAGATTTATTTATTTTTATTGGAAAGTCAGATTTACAGAGAAGGAGAGACAGAGAAAGATCTTCCATCTGCCAATTCATACCCCAAGTAGCCACAATGCCCAGATCTGAGCTGATCTGGAGCCAGGAGCTTCTTCTGTTTCTCCCATGTGTGAGCTGACCTCAACTGCTTTCAAAGGCCACAATTGGGGAGCTGGAAGGGAAGTGGAGCAGCTAGGGTATGAACTGGCTTCCATATGGGTTCCCAGTGCATGCAAGGCAAGGACTTTAGCCACTAGTCTCTTGCTCCAGGCCTACAAATATTTTTATTTGATAGAATCTTTCAGATTTTTTGTAATGTGATAGGAGCACATTAAAAGCCTTGTACAATGTTCAGTAGTCTATATAACAAGATGTTGATGATTTGTTTAAGATAAAGATGAGTTACTTGAGGATCCCAACATTAATTATTTCATTTTCAAACTATCCTGTGAGTGTGTTTTGAAGCCTGTTGTAATAAACTTCAGTTTGAAAGGAGTATGTTCTTATGTCACTGTATACTCTTAAGAAAATATTAGCAGGAAAGAGGCCCAGCGCAGTGGCCTAGTGGCTAAAGTCCTTACCTTGCAACCGCTAGAATCCCATATGGTTTGTGTCCCAGCTGCTCTGTTTCCCTTCCAGCTCCCTGCTGTGGCCTGGGAAAGCATTCAAAAATTGCCCAAAACCTTGGGATCCTTTACCTGTGTGGGAGACCTGGAAGAAGCTTCTGGCTTCAGATCAGCTCAGCTCCCTCTGTATATCTGCCTTTCCAATAAAAATAAATATGTCTTTAAAGAAAAGAAGAAAGATCGACAGGAAGGGACATACAAGATTCAAGCAGAGTACCAAGAGAAAAAGCCACAGAGGAACTAAATGGTTTCTAGTGGAGTGTTAATGAAAGTAAACAGCACTTGTCACAAAACTGTCCTCCTGGAGTTTTATCTTGGTGTTCTGCCAATGCCTTTTCATAGCTTATAGTTTATAGTTAGAAAAGCAGATTTACAGAGAGAAGGAGAGACAGAGAAAAATCTTTCATCCACTGGTTCACTCCTCAAATGGCTGCAACAGCCGTAGCTGAGCTGATCAGAAGCCAGGAGCTTCTCCGTATCTCCCACGTGGGTGCAGGATCCCAAGGCTTGGGCCGTCCTTCACTGCTGCCTTCCCAAGCCATCAGCAGGGAGCTGGATGGGAAGTGAAGCAGCCGGGATCCAAACTGGCACCATATCTGATGGCAGTACCTGGAAATAGATTAGTCAGTTGAGCCATTGAACCAGCTCTAAAAATGCCATTTCTGATTTCAACAAATGTTGCCTTTTGATCTTCGGGTCTTTAAGACCATTGGTGCTTACAGAATTTGAATGGGGCACACTACTTTTTATGTGTATTTTGTAAGCATTCCTGGATTTACCTGTGTTTTTGTGTGTGTTAGAGTAACCATGCATATAATAAAGCTCTGTCACCTGAGTGCTTACTCTGTAGAACTTTTAGTCCCTAGCACATAACATAAAGAACACTTTTGGGATCTCTCACCTACTTCAGAATGTAATTTCTCTGCCATTTCCATATATTTAATGTTTAGTTGTCACACACAGACTCTTTTGTCCTGGTTAATGTTAAGTCTCACTCTGACAGCATCATGCACACCTACATCAGAAAAGATCATGAGGCTCCTGCTGATTAGGCTGGAGGAACTTGGCAGGATAGATTTGACAGACAAGCGTATGCAGTGTGTAACTTCTTAGTCTACGCACTGTTATAAAATTCCATCAGCTTGCCAGTTTGACAAAACTGAGGTTTGAGACTGAAACCGCCAGGATTTTGATGCTAATAGAGATGTTTAAAATGGAAATGATAATAGTGTCAATGCTTCTGCTATTTCCTAGCTTTGGAGTTTGCAGAATTGCTTAATCTTCCAGGTACCTTAATTAGTTCTTCCATATACTTAACCCATAGAATAGGAACTGTTAATATCAGTTGGTTATAAGTATTGTTTGTAAGTGCTTTAGCATGTAGCACCTGGCACATAACAAGTTCTTAACGAATTCTAGATTCTAGTATTAGTATATCGTACAAAATCTTCTAATACTTCATTATTTTTCAGCCTATTAAGAGAGCAGACCTCTTTACCTTCGATTTCTTTCTTAAAAGTAAATGTGGAATACTGACCTTGAAACATCTGTACATGTGGCAGAGAACTGCTTCCTAGCTTGGGTAAACCACCATCTGAAGTGGAAAGGTGGTTCACTGATCTTGTTTGTTCAAGTGTTAATAATACAGTCACAAGTTTTTGCACGGTATTTAAAGGAAAATATTTGTATACTTGCCGTTCCTACATGTTAGATAGGTAGGATTAATACATCCAGGATTTACCATATGGAATCATTAAATTAAGCTGCATACTTGTATGATTTCATTTAAGCTGCAAATATTTTAATTCTTCTGACTTCCTCTTAAGTAGACTACAATGTAAATAAAAGGCTAAGGGAGGACTGGAGTGGCTGTCACGTGCAAACACTGCTTCTTTTTTTCCCCTTACTTAAGTGTGTGTATATGCTTCATGTATGTCCTTTTGATTTTTACTTTTTCTGAATATTTGTTAAATTTTATTGTGGAACTAAATTTGATGATCAAGATAAAGTTTTTCTTTATTTTCAGATTTCAACTATTGCAGAAAGTGAAGATTCACAGGAGTCAGTGGATAGTGTAACTGACTCCCAGAAACGAAGGGAAATTCTTTCGAGGAGGCCTTCCTACAGGTACAGACTTTAATAGAATTAAAGATAGGGGCCCGGCGCGGTGGCGCAGTGGTTAAGGTCCTCGCCTTGCACGCCCGGGATCCCATATGGGCGCCGGTTCTATCCCGGCAGCCCTGCTTCCCTTCCAGCTCCCTGCCTGTGGCCCGGGAAAGCAGTCAAGGATGGCCCAAAGCTTTGGGAACCTGCACCCGCGTGGGAGACCCAGAAGAGGCTCCTGGCTTCGGATCGGCATAGCATCGGCCCTTGCGCTCACTTGGGGAGTGAATCATTGGACGGAAGATCTTCCTCTCTGTCTCTCCTCTCTGTATATCCGCCTTTCCAATTAAAAAATAATAAAAAATAAATCTTTTTTTAAAAAAGAATTAAAGATACACAGGAAGGCTTAGGAAATTAGATAAAAAGATGTAAGATGACCAGATCAGCTCACAATATAGGACCCTTTTCTTCCTCTAAAATTAATTCACTGAAATAAGTTGAATCTTAAATTGTACATTTAAGATCACTTGTTAACTCTTAAGAGTCGTAGATTAATACTGATGTGCTTTTTTTCTTTTTATACTCTGCTGGTTACTGCTTTTTCTGTTGTAGAGTTTTAAGATTTACTTATTTATTTGAAAGGCAGAATTACAGAGAGGAGACAGATCTTCTACCTGCTAGTTCATTCCACAGATGGCCAGAGTGGGCCAGTGAGGCGCCAGGAGCTTCCTGAAGTTCCCCATGTGGGTGCAAGAGCCCAAGAACCTGGACCATCTGTGTTGCTTTTTCAGGTGCACTAGCAGGTGCTGGATTGGAGGTAGAGCAGCAGGTCTCAAACCAGCACCCATATGTGATGCTGGCCAGCAGCCATGTAGGCAGTAACTTTAACTACTACACTACAGCACTGGCCCACAAACCATTTTTTACATGGTAGTTAGCAGATAATTATTAATTTAATAGTTGTCTCAAGTTGGTGCTTTACTAACATCTCCTAACTTTAGAGGCATTCTACTATAGCTTTTGTGTTTGTTCAGCTATATTTGTATATTTACTTTTTATACTGGATATAAATGGTATGCACCTATTCTCGTTTTAAATATGGCAAGTGTTAGATTTCTACTTTGAAGCATGTCTCATGTTAGTATATAATATTTAATCCTGAAGCAGATTGAATTAGATATTAAGAAACAAGCTACATGTCTTCTCTAAATTCTAGATTAATCTTTTAGACTTTTTGAAAGAAGAATTTTAAAATATGAAAGACCATAGCAGCCATGGGAAAGAGAAAATAAATTTTAGTTACCTTTGATTTAATATGACTACAAGAAAGCCAATACACTTCAATGATATGTTGTAAAAAACCAAGTATCTAGATTGAGAGGGATTTAATCCCACTGACCAGACCATATCTGGATTAATTTAAAGACAACATGAACTGTATCCAGGGAAAAGGACAAACATCATTTAGAACAATAATTTCAAATATTAGAAAGAAAATACTAAGAATGATCATCTGCTTCACATGTTTAGATTGTCATAAAGAGATGTTCTTGTTTCTCCTACTTGTGTGCTCTCATTTAAGATCCTTGATTCATTTTGAGTTACTCTTGAAATTTGTATGTTTTGAACTTTTGCCCTTAACCACTAGCAACTTTCTGCCAGTTTTTTGACCTTTATATTTAGTAAGTTTTAACTTAAAAAAAAATAATTTAGCTCTTCATTCTTCTAGGAAAATTTTGAATGATTTATCTTCTGATGCACCAGGAGTGCCAAGGATTGAAGAGGAGAAGTCTGAAGAGGAGACTTCAGCACCTGCTATCACCACTGTCACGGTGCCAACTCCCATCTACCAGACCAGCAGTGGGCAGTACAGTGAGTAATAGATACTTCTGCTTTGAATAGTGAAAGGAAAAGCTAACGTTTATGTTCTCTCTTACAAAAAAATATACTAAAAAAGAAAAACTCATGTTAGTACCAGATCTTTCCTTGGCTTTGCTGCCATAGTATTTTCTTTAGAATGGTCTGAAATGGCAATATTTTACTTTGTCCAGTTTTAGTTAGAATTACTCAAATGTATAAGCTGTTTTGATGTCTCCTTCTTTTGTACAGATGCTTGAGAAGTCAAGTGTTTGAGCCACTAATTGAAACTCTAGATTTTAGTCTTGATATATAATGTTGATAAATCATGAGTTGTCATATAAAAAGAAAAATCATTCTTTAATATTTTAAGGCCCAAAAAGTCTTATTATTCGACTGCCATTTGTGAATGTCAAAAATTTCATATTTAATAACATTTCAAATGGAAATAGGTAGATTGGTTGCAATTTGCCAGAGTATTCCATTATTCCATTTCATACAAAATTATTGTGAATTTTGGTAATATAGGTATACATATTACTAAAACTAATAAGATATTTGGCTTTTTGGATTATAGAGAGCGAACTTCTTTGACAATCATTCTTTTCATTTCTGTGCTATCTCTGGCACATATTTCTCTCATTTTGTGTCTCTTTTATGTTTTGCCTCAGTGCATTATAAATTACTGAACTACAGTTTTGTTTTATCAGAGCCATTTATGTAAATGTTACTGTTTTCTCCTGTTCCCCTGGTTTACTTCTCAAATCATTGGCACTGAACCTAGTGCTGCCCATTCTATTTATATTATAAATTAAATGCACACATTGAAATTTCTTTGTGCATTAATTTTCTAGTGCCTAGTGATGACCATATCAAAAGTACTTTAAAATTTTGACCTCTATATTACAAGATTGTTAATTTCAGCCCAATGTTGGTTTGTGTAATACTGATTTACATTCCAAGTTATTAAAACCAGATACCCAAAGCTGATGTTACTGATGAAAATTGAAGGCTTTTTTTTTTTTTTAGTTGTATTTATTTTTGTTGGAAAGGCAGATTTACAAAGAGGAGAGACAGAAAGATTTTCCATCTGCTATTTCATTCCCCAATTGACCACAATAGCCAGAGCTGAGCCAGTTCAAAGCCTAGAGCCAGAAGCCTCCTCCAGGTCTCCCATGTAGGAGCGGGGGTCCCAAGATTTTAGGTTATCCTCTACTGCTTTCCCAGGCGACAAGCAGGGAGCCAGACGGGAAGTGGAACAGCCAGGACACAAACCAGTGCCTTTTGTTAGAAAGGCAGAAAGATCTTCCATCTGCAGGTTCACTCCCCATGTGGCCGCAATGGCTAGAGCTGAGCTGATCCAAAGTCTGGAGCCAGGAGCTTCCTCTGGGTCTCCCACACGGGTGCAGGGTCCCAAGGCTTTGGGGTGTCCTCGACTGCTTTCCCAGGCCACAAGCAGGGAGGTGGATGCGAAGTGGGGTCGCTGGTATTAGAACCGTATGGGATCAGCTGATCAGGGCCATGGACTGTGCTGGGCCCTGTACTTGCTAGCACATACAAGAATCTGGTCTGAGAACACCTCAGACAAAATTTCTTTGGAGATCTCCCCAACCAAAATACTGGACTCAGAACCCTAACCAAGAAAAGAGAGAAGACAGAACAGGTCAATCAACCATCTCAGCTATATGCTGGCAGTGAAATACGGGGCAAACGGAGACTCTATGATGTACTATGTCAATCGGTGGATTCTTCAAAGACCTCATAATGCTTGGAGTGGCAAGACTGGCAGCGATTCATAACTGGTGAACTATCAAAACCACTTGAGCAAGAACCTCAGAGCATACCCTACATGTGGGACCTGGGAAGGGTGGGAAATTGGGTGGGCCTTTTCCCTTAATACCCCCCTTTAAACATGAAGGAAACAATATGGAAATAATAGTCTTACGCACTCTCCTATAGCCCTTGAACCTTTTTACCCTAATTAACTATGTAAAGATTGTAAAAAATATAATAAAAAAAGAGAAAAAAAAGAACCATATGGGATCCAGGCACTTGCAAGGCAAGGACCTCAGCCACTAGACTACTGTGCCGGGCCCCAGACTTGACTCTTAATGTATGTCTGCCAGTGCAGAGTCAGGTGCAGTCTTTGACCTGCACCAGCCAGTGTACATACTGGTGGATGCAGCTGCCTGGTCTACCCCAGCCCCATATGTCAAGTGAATCAACAGGTGCTATGCCTCAATCCAGCCAGCCCCCTGCAGACCCAATTCTCACACCAGCAGGTGCAGCAGCTTAATCAGGGTAACCCCCCAAAACCTCCAACAGGCCCACCCCCGACCATTTCCCATCCACGTCTCATGCACGCCAGTAGATGCTGTAGCTTCGCTCAGCCCTCCCTGCCCCCAGACCCAGCCCTCGTGTATACTAATATATGCCAGTGCCTTGTCCAGCCTGACCTGCCCGTTTCCCTGGTTTTTGTGCTCACCAGCAATGGGTGCAGCCTAGCAAGGGAATGCCCACAATTCTCCTGTGAGGCATGGTCCCAGCCCTGGATTTTTTGCCTGCCAAGACTAGGGACCAGCCTAACATGACTTAAAACTAGTCCTGGTGGCTCTCTTACACACCAGCGGGTGCTGCAGTCTATCCCAGCTTGGCCCACTTCCAGCCCAGTCATCCCCAGTTCCAGCTGTGATGCTCACCAATGGAAGCAGTAGCTCAAAGTACCCAAATTTCCCTTACCAAGCCTGCTCCCAGCTCCAAGTCTTGTGTGTGCCAGCAGGTAATGTGGCCCAGTCTGAGATTGACTGACCAGCCTGTACCCATTCCCAGCTCTCACAGGCTGGTGCAACTGCCTAGCCCTCAAATGAGCTGGCAGATGCTGCAGTCCAACCTGTCCTGGCTCTCATTTATTCCAGTGTGTGCTGTGGACTGACTCAGCCTAGCCCACCCTCAGATCTAGCTCACATGTATGGCAACGGGTGCTACATCCCAGTGTGGTCTGGTCTGGTCTGCTCCCAGCTCGCAGTCACCAGCAGGAGCTGTGGCCTAACAGGGGAGTTTTCCAAGTCCCCCTACCAGCCTCGTTCCCAGCAACATATGCCAGTGGGTACTGCTATCCAAAATGACATGACTAACCCCCAATTCTGGCATTCTGGCAGGTACTACAGCCCAGCACTGCTGTCCCACACCCATTCTGATTCTTACCAATAGATACTGCAGCCTAGCCTCCTCTTACCTGACCCGAGACCCAGCCCACACACATGCTGACAGATGCAGCAGCCTTGCCCAGCCTGCTTAGCCCACAGTCTGAGCTTTTGCACTCACCAGTTGAAGCTTAACTGCTAGGCCCATATCCAGCCCTTGGTATTAACACACTGCTAACAGGTACTTCAACCCAGCCTGGAGTGGCCCACCCACAGTCTCAGCTCTCACTAGCAGGTGGCCTACAGGGGAGTTACCCCAAGATCTCACATGTCTCAGTCAGTTCGGTGGCCCTGCTTGGCATGGTACACCCTCAGTCCTAGCTCTTGGGTGTGCCAGCGGATACTGCAGCCTGGCGTGGCTCATCACTGCCCGCAATTCTGCCTGTAAACCAGCAGATGCTGCAGTCTCAGCAACTGCAGCAGTCTTGTCCTACAACATGTGCTCCAGAATGTCAGTGTGATTAGGTCAGAACTCAAGTGCAATGGTTGGGGAGCTTCCTAAGAAACAGCTGGGAGGTCTTCAGACCCTGCTCTCAGATGTGCCAGCTAGTGCAGTGGCAGGCTGTCTGCTCCCCTCTGTAGCAGCCGATTCATATACCAATGAGTGTAGCTTCTGGTTAGTTCCTAGTACTCCTATGCCCTTCCCCAGCCACAATTCTCAGACATGCTGGTAGGTGCCAGCAGCAGTGTCCACAAAGATCCTCTACCAGGCCAGGCCCACCCTCACACCCGGTTCTTCCACGAGTTGGTAGGTGCTGCAGTCTAGTTGGATTGACCCTCCAACAGCCCCTAACAGATCCACTCCCAAACAGGGCTCTCGCAAGCACTGGCAGTGCCCTGTGTAGGCAGATACTTTGGCCTGACCCAGGAAGGTCCTCTACATTCTCCCTTCTAATCCAGCATCTGAGCTCTTCAAATTACCTGCTCTGTGGAGGCCCCCAGAAATCATTTTATATATATCCAGACCCCATTCCATTCCAACCCATCCCCAGTCTCTCAGCCCCTAGTAATGCTCCACCCGCTCCCCCCACAATCCCCACACACATTCTGTCATGGTAGCAGCCATGGCTTCTGGGCTTTGGTGAGCACCTGATGACACTGCGGGCTATACCCCAACCCCCCCCCGGTCTTAAAAAAAGATTAAAAGAATAAGCAGTTATACTGGCACAGTGGCATAGTTAACACAGAGTCGGCATTAACCAGGCCTAGAATATCTGCCAGCTATTATCTGCTTTTTTATCAGCAGTGGAACACTTGCTAATAAAATACACTTGTATCTTGCTTAGTTACAAGACTACACAGGAGATTGCCTAAAGCGTGGGTATTCTCTGTTATTTTTAAGATTTGGATGATTGGTTGATTGATTTGAAAGAGAGGAAGCAGAGGAAAGACCTTGTGTCTATAGGGTCATTCTCCCAAATGCCCACAAAAGCCTGGGCTGAGCCATACTGAAGCCAGGAGGCAGGAACCAGACCCTTGGACCATAATTTGCACTGTTTACTGTTAGAGAGATTCTTATTTTCACTTGAACTAGAAAGCATGCGCCTTTTTTTTTTTTTTTTTTTAGTAAAGGCTTATGTATTTATTTATTTATTTATTTATTTGTTTATTATTGGGAAGGTAGAGTCACAGGGAGGAGGGACAGAGAAAGATTTCCCATCTGCTTGTTCACTCCCCAGGTTGTCACAACAGCCGGAGCTGAGAAAATCTGAAACCAGGAGCCATTCTCTGCTTTCCCAGTCCACAAACAGGGAGCTAGATGGACACAAACCAGTGCCTATATGGTATCCCAGTGCTTGAAGAGAGAGGAGT